ATGGGTGGGGGGGGGGGGAGTGAGAGACTGTAGAATGTAAAATGCTTCCTTTTTTAACTACCTGTCCCATAAAATTTGCCTTAAAAATATATTTTATTAAATCTTATTTTCTAATTGGAGGACAAAATTGTTTACCACACTGGTATGGTTACTGCTAAGTGAAATGTGCTATATGGTTGTATTGCTAGTTCTTTTTTATTAAATATATAAATAAATATGTGATTCCAGTCCAAAACTAATTGTTTAAGTTATAATTCTCAATTGCAATACTTCCCTATCCTGACAAAGTTCCATCAAAACTGCATGTTCATTGGACTTATAGATCACATGAGATTAACAGTATTTACTGCAAATGGATGCAATAGATCCTAAAGACAATATGTTACATTTATTTCACACATCTGAAAAATGTCAGTGCAACAGCATTTATTACTCACATTACTCACATAATAAAAGTTAACATATTTTTTTACATATACTTTTAAAAATACATCAATAAACAGCATCTATATTTACCTATAATGACAATGAACATAACTGATACATATAATGACAAAATATTTTGATATAACTCATGAGTCTCCTGTAGCATAAAAAGAGTAATGTTTTTAGTGCTGATATATTTTGGCCCACCATGGTTATATTTTATTGGTTCTATCAAGGAAAACTGTGTCAAATATAATGGCATGGCATCCAATACAAAAGTTTTACCTATTTCTTTTATTCAGAGAATAGGGGATGTTGATTTAGAGTCTCGTTCATCTTGTAACTTTCACACCGACAACTTTAAAGTTATGTAATGCAGTGAACTAGCATACTGAAGCCCACCATATTGCAAGTTTTCTGTTAGGCAACTATCATGGATGCTTGCCCTTATGCTACAATTCACCAACAACCTGTCAAAACATACTGTGCATATTCTTGTTAACCATTTACCAATTCTGGCATATATGGTGGCAAAGTTTGAGGCTTGAATTTGATTTATACATAAGACATGCAATTCTTGAAAACTTTCTATGCCATTAAAATTTCATAATCCTCTACTACATATTTTATTTTACACAATACATCTCACTTAGAAATACTGATTATCTATATTGATAAATTTTGATAAATGACTATGGGCATCAGCAGAATGGTGACGAAGAATAAAATCAAAGTACATAAAGAAATGACTGCATACTATAAATTCCACTTGAAGTACTCTGGGATTGAAAAAAGAAAAGAACTCTCTGAAAATGAAACAGTGACTAATCACAAGATCTAGGATATTGGTGTGATCTTTCATTGGTTGTTCAGTCCAATAGTTTTCAGAACAATGGGTCTAACAAGTTTTGTCTCTTCTGAAGGAAGTACCTATGCCGTATTAAGTAGTAAGATTTCTGATGAGATTTTCTGGTGTACTTTTGCATGTGCAGTATCAAGATACTATGACAAAAATTCATTGTCAACTATCAAATATAATTTCAGTTTCTTGAGCCATTATTAGCTTTGGTTACAATGAATTTTTGTCATAGTATCTTGATACTGCACATGCAAAAGTATAACAGAAAATTTCATCAGAAATCTTACTACTTTTAAAATATATATGTATATATAATGGATGTTAGTACTGATAGTTGTTGCACAAGTTTTTAATTTGGAATCCTCAGAAATATTTTATATATAATATTACGCATATAAAATATTTCTGAGGATTATAAGTTCAAAACTTGTGCAACAACTATCAGTACTAACATCCACTTTTTCAATATCATTAACTGATAGTGAAAGGGAGTGTGGAGTTTGGAAGATATAGTACAATATGTGTGTCCATTATTCATACCCAAACTCAAAGAATTTATCTAGAGTATATGGTACTTTGTATCCATTCAAATAGTGCTACAAGCAGACCAACAATTAGGGCACTAACTGTCAAGATTGTTTCGAAGTTGGGTTGACATGTCTCCATCCATGATGGCTGCAGAGGTTTTACTGATACTCCAGAGAATTCTGGTTCTTTCACCCAAATGTCTCTCCTTGAGATTTTTCCTTGCGCATGCAGTACCTGTCAAGTGAGAAACATAAATCAATATTACTATGATATGAACAGGTATGAAATAGAAAGGTATTCCACTTTTTCTGGGTATTATGGTCATAACAGAGGATAGTAGTATATTATAGAATCTGCAAAATATGTTTGCATGTTTTATGTACATACATAAAACTTCATTAAGCTATTTACTACTGAAAATGTGAAAGATGGCATATTTCAATTGTGTTTAATAAAAAAAATGTTAATAGATATTTTATTATTTGACTTTCACATTAAATTTGGAGCTGGGATAGCTCAGTCAGTATAGTGACTAGCTATGGGCTGGATGACTGGGGTTCGATTCCTGGCGGGGGGCAGAGGATTTTTCCTCTAGCCTCTGCGTCCAGACCAGCTCTGGGGCCCACCCAGCATCATATCCAGTGGGTACCGTGGTCCTTTCCCAGGGGTTAAGTGAGTCCATGGCATAATGTTGACCACTCACCCCCATCTAATGCCAAGGTTAAGAAAGAGTAGGAGCTATACCTCCACTCCCCCCAAAAGATGTACATAGCATGTAGTGAGATGGCTTTACTTTCCTTAGTTTTCACATTAAATTACATAGGACAGGGCCAAAGTCTTCAATGGAGTGAAAGTAACTAGAACTGCAATGTCATTTCCTGCAAAAAATCAAAATACTTGGGGAACAGAAATTTCAGAATCCAGCTAAAGTAAACAATCATTTTTGGTATTAAATTGGCATGTAGAACCATAATTATTTTGCAGAAATGGTGTTAAATACATTGTGAATCCAAACATTTTGTGAATTTATATACAACACCTTATAAATTATACATTGAATTTGGCTAAATTACTTATAAATAAAATATTTATTTTGTTTAAAATGATATTAATAAAACTGATAAAATCTATAAAATCATCAAAATAAGCTACATACTTCTCTAGCAGCTCTCTCTCCTGCCTCAATAGCTCCATTCATATAGCCAGTCCACTCTAATGCAGTCTCAGTACCAGCAAGATAAATTCTTTTTCCAATTGGTTCTCGTATTGCTGGCCCAAATCTAGTGAGGACACCTGGTGAACAGTAGCTAGAGTAACAGCCACCAATATATGGTTCTTCTAACCACAACTTATCCACATAATATACTGACTGGAACCAACAATGCAATAAAACATGCTTTATTAGTAACAAGAATAGAGCCTGCATTATTTAAACAAGAACTTTATGGCAGGGGAATAGCAGGAAGTTAATATAAACCATAACATATGTATCTTATAGATCCTTATAATTTTTATAAATGACAATTTTCTCTCAGCTTAATACTTGGTGATAAAGCCCAAAATATATTAAGGTATCTGAATTTTAAAATAAATTAGTGAGTAATCCTCACAAATGGTTATTATCATATAGAATTAACACTTACTGAACAGGAAGTTCTTTAATGGCAACATTTAAATATCTTAACATCACCTTGATGGCAAATAAAGTTTAGAGAGCTCATTGAATATGATGTTCACACATAAGAAGAGTGAACAGCAGTAAAGTAAGAATGAAAATCAATAAATAACCATGTTACTATATGGCTGCCACCAGATTATAATATACAGAATGGCAACTGAATTGTCTCAGGGTTGCCACTGCCAAGAACAATGGATACCCTCCGGTTGCCATTAAAGAGTAAAAGATGAGTTCTCTTTAACAGCGCATTATTCTTAGTTTATATTTCCACATTTGACTGGTTAACAAGCATACCTCAAGAGCTTCTTGACTGTCATAAAAATTGGCAAGGGAACGGCAGATGGCATCTCTGCGAGCAGACTGTTCCATGTCTTTAAGTTGGATGGCATGCTGTCCAAAAATGAAGCAAATGAGTCCATAGAGAGATATACCTGGTTTTTGGTCCTCATGGACATCACCAACAACCTCAATTCCATCCATACAGGACACAAATCCATTATATCCTAAACAGATAACAATACACATAGAAGAAGTGTAGAAAACACATAGAAGTTGGAAAGGTTTCATGTTACTGCCTATTTCTGTTATCCAAAAAGTATAATTCTGGACTGCAGTTGCTATAGTTTTCATAAAGACTGAATTGTAATAAAAATTCCCAACATTAACTGCAGCTGTCTTAACACTAAGCATGATAGTGAAGACCATGACTTTGACATTGTCTTTTGCAGTTAGTCATATTCATATGGTTATTTAAATATGTAAATTAATTGGGGGTTAAAATCCATGTCACTATTTAAGACCTTTCTCTTTGGACACAAACTTACATTCTTCTGCATACACAATGATATTAAAATATTAATTTGGCCTAGAAGTGCAGTAGAAAACATTATGAAAAAACAAACAGATATATAAACAAGTGGATCATATTTAGATAACAGTAGGTTGATGAATAATAAAATAAAAATCAGTACAATAGCTCACACACTTACTGTTCTAAAAATGTATTAACATCATATTCAGGTATTTAATGTTACATTCCAACACCATGCAATTTGTCCTGTGGACTAGCACGCTGGACTTATGTGTAGGTAGTCAAATGATGAAATCTCATTTTGGTTACTTAAAAAAAATAATAATAATCAGTGCTGGTTTAAGAAGGAACAATTTCAGCCAATTAAAGATTGTGTGTTAGGCAATATTTTCATGACTGGATTAACTATTTTTAAGCTTCAAGTAAGAGTAAAGGAATATTCTTTTCTCAAAATATTAGATGTCACTTGTAACTTACTAGATATGTTCTGGTAAGATTAATGTGATCATCTGACAGCCTCATCATTTATGAAAAATGAGTTTCAAAATAAATTAAACCATATGAGCACATAAACAACAGCATGCATATTAGTTCAAGAATATATAGAAATATGGTTTCAACATAATGCTTTAAAGTGTGTTAATCCTTTCACCTTTTTCTACCCAGAATTCTCTCTTGTAGAATACAGTGCATTTGAGAACAATTCCCATAGGACATCGTTGAATTAGTCCGTGACGTAGTGATGGCAGTGGAGGATCAAAATGTATTTTGAGCTGAAAGAAAGAGCAGTACATGAAGTCATTCGATGCCTTGATGATGGAGGAAGCAAGGACATCTGGAACGATGGTAAACTTCTACCAGACTACACAGCACAACATCCCAGAAGACAGCCATCTTCAGACTCACTGCCGTGAAAACCTCAAATCCTACATAGAAATATTAGTTTAATTCTGCGTATTATGCAATCATACAAGTCAATATGATTAATTAATTATTATTAAACTTAACATTTTGAATATTAAACAATTTAAGTGCCATTTGTTAAATGACAAACAGACAAAAGTAATGGAAAATATGTGAAACTAATACAAGCTCTTGGTTACACAGCATCATAAAGTTGGTCTCAGAAATAAAATTAATACATTTAGGGGAAAATGAATAAAGAAGTGCATGTGACCAGGAGAATGTTGAATAGACACTCCTAGCTTTTACCTCTGTGTGTATATTTGTGTATCAAGCCACCAAATGTCTTTTAAATGGTTTGTAGGAAAAGGAGAGTAAAATCAATATACAGATTAAATAAAAGTTGTAACTTCCCTGTACAGGGGTTCTGAAAGGATTACGTTTATTACATCTGCTATATTTATCAAATACACTTATAATGTAGTAAATTCTCTTCTAACAGTACTGAATTTGTGTGGACCATCTCATTGCTCTGATACATGACTGTTTTAAAGGTCCTATCATGTGCAAAGAAGGAATGAGAAGAACCACATTCCTCCAGAAAGCTGAAGCTGATCACTCACCTACTTCTAGTGCTGAGATAAAGCATGAAGCTATATGTCTACTCCCCCATATGTATGTCTGACATGGTGCTTAGTTAAGCATCAGAGACAACTTTATATTTACCTTTACCTTTACATGAATCTATACAAGATGATCTACAGTTTACATAATGAAACTCCAATGGTAGCAATGTACTTGTTTATGCTCCTAGAATATTGAGAACAAATTCAGTCTCCTATATTAATGGACAGATTTAGTCCTAACAACACACTGCACTGGGGGGAACCCACTTAATTTGCACCCACAGCTTCTGGATTTTCAGATAAATAAATTACTGCTGTAAATGTTACTTACATGTGCAAGTGGAGGAATAGCCATTATTACATGTGAGCCATTGAAAACAGTTCCATCCAGTGTTTTGACCACCACACCATCATTCATGTGCCTTATTTGTACCACTACCTTTTTCAGATGAATTCGATCTGAAAAATGAAACATAAAATTTTCAATCAGCCATAACTGAGGAAATATTTTATTCTACTCACTCAAGGAACGAAAATTAACTATATACCTCCAAGATTCTTTGCCATCTTGATGCTAAGCTGCTGAGAACCACCAATGATTTTACGTTCCTGTGCACCACCCTTAGCCTGCCAAATATGGTTCACACCTTGTGCCTGATGTAAATACCACAAAAAGAATAGTAATGACATCTCATGATCTTCAGCAGTGTTGTTAGCAACAGCCATACCTTCAAGAAATTCTCTTGCATCCCTGTTAACAGTGCAAACCAGTCAGTATGAACAGACAAAAGTCTATACAGTCATTAATAAAATAGAAAACATAAGTGAAGAAATTGGTGAAACATTTATAGATGGCTTATAGAAAATGTTATCTCTGCTATGGAATTTATATAAACTCATCTTATTGTAAAAATTATTAAAAATAGTGTTTAAATGACATGTGTCACTCTAAGTTTATAGATCCATTTTTATGTCTTTTAATAATAATTTTATACACATTTCTTTGTTAAATCTTATCATATCAGAATTAAATCTCTCCTTCAGATGCTCATAGCCTGATTAAATTTTGGTATTTAGTTAATAAAAGCACAATTCTGCAAGCTGTCACACAGCACAGAAACTATTTAGACACGTGGTTCACATATCCCACCTGGATACATGGCTTCATATAGAATTATAAAATTTAACTTCAGCACAGACAGTATATATTTGCATCTTTTCATACGTGTCATTTCACTGCACACAGAAAATTTGTTCAGGAATGTCTGCTTACCTAGTCCAGCAATGTTTCTTCAGAAACTCCTTTACTGTGATATTATCCCATTGAACAGCATGAGGAGCTTGCCAGGGATAATCAGCAGGTACCTGGAGTGCCATGTTATCTAACTTACGAATAGTAGCATGTAGATCCCATGCTGCTAATGGGCTACTCCACCAGAATGTGGGCCACGAATTTGAGTAACGACATCTTTTTCCCTAAAATAAACAGTTTTTTACAGGAATAAATTAAAACACATGTTTAAAGGTAATTTAGTGGATTGCATTGATACAAATGTTTACCAATTATAACGAGCTGTTGTATTTGTTTACTTTCAACCAAAAGTATTTATTATATGCATTTTCTCCTACTAAAGTTGCAGTAATATTTCCATTATTTCAGCCTAGAAATTCTGTCTGTAACTTTAAAAAAAAATTTGTATGTGAAGCACATGAAATATTGGTTACAGAATTTACCATTTTTGCACCAATAAATTTGCATGAAAAATTTGTGTGGACTTCTCACCCAAAGTAATAAATTTTATCACAATCTCCTGCATGGTTTTCAGATGAAACAAAAACATGAACAGACACTATATTATGTATTAATTTATGTGCTTTGTACAAAAATACACAAAAATTGATACCTGAAATTTGGTTTTAGGTGCAGCAAGGTAAATAGCATAACTCAAAATGCTATAGTTTCCTTTTCTTTATTGTGTAGCACACAGCACTTAAGGGATGAACCAACATTTGCAGGATATAGCATTTATTTAGAAACAAAGCTGGTATCAATTCTGTTTTAAATAAGAAACTAAAATATTACTTGGATTCATAAAAATGATCCTGTGTGACTAAGAAACCATAACATATAATATTCTGTATTAGTTACCTTGCTAAAATATATGCTGTCATGGTTATCTCGGCAAAGATATGTCTCACAGCCCAGTTCCCTGCACAATCGCAGTACATGATTTTGAGTGGGACCAACATAAGAGGCTCCAAGGTCAACCCATCCATAATGTGGGTCTCCTGCCTTTTCTGATGGTGTTTGTGTCAGAGTACGACCACCCACCCGGTCACTGGCTTCCAGCACCACCAGCTCCACGCCATGCTCATGAAGCAGTTTTGCAGCACTTAAACCTGATACACATCATGTTTAATGACTTATGTTTTCTTCTGTTTCACTCAGTTTTAATGTAACATAATCATCTTTAAATACCAAGAAAAACCACATTCCCTTTTTTGGTTACTCATGACTGATGGGAAAGTATATATTATTTTCCGTAATTTTAGTTGGGTAGGTAATATTTCTTCTGAAAAAAATTAATATTTGTATGTATATTTTTATGATCACTGTGTATATTGTATTATATACAGCGTTCCTTGCAAGTGTGGTAAAGTCTACATTGGGCAGACCGGCCGTTCTTAAGAGACCAGTCAAAGAGCTCCAGCACTATATCTGGCTGGAGAAACCAAATAAATCTGTCATGTCCAAAAACACAGTCAACCTGGGCCAACGTATTCAACTTCAAGACACCACTATCCTGTCCACCAAATCCAGATATATGGACAGGATGATGAGGAAGGCCATCAAGATTGAGTTACATCCAAACAACTTGAACAGGGAGGAAGGACTTCACCACTTAGGCCAAGGCTCATCTTTGACTGTCAGTCTCCTGTAACTCTTGTTTCCAAGTGTGTGGCTTACTCATTGCCTGGATGATAGAGGCAGCAAGGACCTCTGAAACTTTCGTAAACTTCTAGCAGACTATACCTTGCAACAACCCAGAAGACAGCCATCTTCAAACTTGGTCTGTTAGATCACTTAGTTTTTGTCCAGTATCAACTACTGAGGTTGTGAAGCACAGATTGAGATATTGTAAGTGGTTGTAAATGAAATGGAAGGGATAAAGAGGGAAGCATGCTCAATCTATTTAATTGTATTACGAGATCTCAGTCCTGGTAACACCAAGGTTATACTGTCCCAAGCAAATCACTCTCATTACAGACATTTAATTTGTCAATTATTTTGGTTGGTTATACATACGATATAAAATGCCCAATGAAAAAAATATATACAAAATTTCCCTGCTTTCTTAGTACAGACTACAGACAGTTACACTTTTAATGAAATATTAAAAAATAAATTATAGTGTGCAAATTAGACTAATACAGGTAGCCATCAATTTACGCCGGGGATGTGGTCCTGGACGAACCGGCGTAATCGGAATCGGCGTAAATTGAAACTCTTTTATAATGTAAATCAATAGGAAGTCAATGACATGCGTTCCCAACACCCAAACATTGATCAGTAATATAAAGGCATTACATTTAAAGCTCTGAAATAACGTAAATAAAATAAATGGAATTTAAAAAATATATTTTATACACTTACAATTGGCAATTCGTTGGCCCCCACGATTGACTGCGTTTCTTTCATGTGACTGATGCGTGCAGTCATCTCTGCTGTTATGCGATAGTCGCATTCATGTAAGACGCCGACCCACAGTAAATCGCATAGTAAAAATAACCCCGGTACTTCCGAAGAGATTAAGTCTTACATATTAAATTAGTCCTTTGAAAGTTTAAAGCGCCAGGAATGAAATTGCATAACAGTAGACTCTCATACGCAAAAAGTTTGCATTTCACAAACAGCTTTTACCGATTCATCGATCTCATTGGAGGAAATTCGCCTTAACGAAACATACGTATTTACAGAGATGACTGTATTAATAATTTTTATTCAAAATTAGCGATGTAAGAATTACGATTTAGTATATGAAGCAGTATGAGAAACATAGTAAAACGTTATAAATAATAGTAAATTTTTTTTCTTCACTTTTTGACTTTCTGGTTTCAAAATCGGCGTTATTCTGAATCGGCGCAAATCGAGGGCTACCTGTACTTAATGATAATTGAATATATTTTAACCCCATCCTGCCTGATTTTTTAGAACAAATTATTTTGAACTTAATATTTAAGTAAAACAATTCCTTGGTCACAGCTTTAATTAATTGTAAAATTCAAATGAATGTTCAACATTGGTTTCTGTCACTCTGCATCTTGCGCTAAAATTTAAAACTCTCATGAAGTAGACACAAGTCTGACAGACCTACCACACACAAAACATAGCCATTAAATAGTATGTGAGTTTAATGATTTTCATCTGAATTGGGGATGGCTACTGGATAACTCTGACTGCTAATTTACTAGAAATGACAAAATCACATGCCTGCCTGTATCTATTATGGACTCATCTTAAACAATATGAGCTGCAACTTAAAACAACAACATGTTTTAATGATTCTATTCTCCCAGTCTGGCTAAAATACATTCTATGTTTAATGTTGGGTTAACAATTATATGTTTCATCCAACAAGATATTTCAAACAGAAAAGCTTCCAGGATATACTTCCCTAAAACCTTACCACTAAGTCCAGCTCCAATTACTATCACCGCTCCCTTACTGGACATGTTGATGTTGCTACTTCTCCTGGAAAACTGTATTGAAGTCTGACTGTACTAAAGTGCAGCTTATATACATATTCATGGAAACACACCAGTTGAGAACAACAATGACATATACACAAACATTACTGAAAGAAGAAGTATTACATATCCCAACCTAGGCAAATGAAGTGTGTGGCAAGAAATGGAACTACCTGTTCAGTTTAATGATTTGCTGCTAACATCAACATCATTTTGTTTATTAACCAAAAACTCTAGCCTCATCACAGGCTAGATAACCACAAACCTTTGTCACGGACATATCATATATAAATACTGTAAAGTAAAGTAAAGTTTGTCCCACTATACGCCATGTAGGCGTTTGGGGGGAATGGAGGTATAGCTCCTCTCTTCCTTGACCTCGGCACTAGATGGGGGTGAGTGGTCAGCATCACGCCCAGGCCGACTTTACCCCCGGGAAAGGACCCCGGTACCCATTGTAGAGGAGGCTGGGTGGGCCCCAGAGCCGGTCTGTACGCAGAGGCTAGAGGAAAAATCCTCTGCCCCCGTCGGGGATCGAACCCCGGTCGTCCAGCTATAACAATAACTATAACAATAAGAGTTTCCACCCATCATAAATCCAGTTCAGAGAGTATGTAGTGTTCATCGCAAATAAAAGAATGCAGCAGACACATACAATTAACTTATTCCAATAGTACCAATAGTATCAATGTACTCTGCCTCTGGTCTGAATCATAAGTGACTATAAACTAGATTCACAGAGTAAAAACTATCTATGTCCGTTGTTTGGAAACTGTTTAATGCAATGAGTCACTATGCCTGTAAATACCAAAATACCGGCTGACAGGCAAAATATATTCATGAGATTGCAATTCCATTATTTCTGATATGATAAAAAATGGTTATAGGATGAGTATTGCCAGTAACTTATTTTTTGGTCAATGGGATATTTTTCACAAGATTTCGATATAGTTCTTTTGGTCAAGAGAAATATATATTCACAACAATGTCCACACAAGGACAGTTGAGAAGTGTATGCCTGCACTGATATTGTTGTATACTTATGTATAATAATATAATTACATGGAATCATAATAACCACATATATAATTAATTATAATGTAGAATCATTAAGTTACTAAATAAAGTGTAGCAGTGTCATATTGTAGACTTTGTACAGAAAGCAAGACTTTCCATTTCCAGCTGTTGTAGACAGGGGCGACAGGAAGACATTATCGTGTCTGCTCCAGATAAGTTAATTAAAAAAGATTCCAATTATATTCACAGATAGAGAAGGCCTGCCGAGGTCAGGACGCCCGAACTTTGACGGGGCAAGGGGTCGCTTTCCTAGGGGGTTTATCGTGTCCTCTAAATGGATCTAGAACCACGCCTTGGGATGACACGTTACAGCTTGCATGTAAAAAACCGTCACTGACGTCACAAGGGTGATATCGGGGATTTGCTTATAACCAGTGAATTTCGAAGACACATTGGACATTTCACGTTACTCGTCAGGGGGAAACTCTGCTGGTCTACTCATTCATTTCTATCTACATATATTCAACATTGTGTTTCACACGAACTGTACTCATCTCAATTATCAATAAATCATCAACATAAACAGAGGAGAAACATTTTTTGGTGTCAGAAGTGGGATACACACAGTCGACGGAAGACTTCAAGCAAGTAATTAAAAGCAGAGGCAACAGTTGACGAACTGCTAAGACTACAGTATTCTACAAGACTTCAGCTGACGAGCTACCGGTCCTGATAGAATCTGATAGACACTGCCGACGACGCTTGAACAAGAAGACTTTGATAGCTGGCGTGAATTGCTACGCTGCTACAGTGCAAGATCGCCTCTCTTGCGACCTTGTTGCTCAGGGAGACCTCCACTCATCAGGTGGAACGGACCGAGAACCGTGCTTAACTGAGGGCTGCCAACAACCGCCGCTGAGAGACGCCGCCTCCACTACGAAACCCGGCGCAAGACGATCGAGGTTACTTCAGAGTTCCGACACCCCAGAGGCTCCAGGAAAACGCACATTTCACCATCTTCATTTTTCCAGGAAGAGTACGGGGTCTCCTGTGAATTTATTCACAGCCAAGCACTTCCAGAAAAGGGCAAGCTGAGCTCAAATCCTTTTCCAACGCAAACTGTTTGTTGAATTAAGGGGGAGTTATTAAAAATTTCAGTGAATTGCGATATATGTTAGTTGGGCAAGTAACTTTAATAGAAAAAACAAATTTGCAAATAAACAATAAAACAGTTTACGTTACCTTCATTAACGTAAGAGTGTAAACCCGAGTGATCTGCTGTATATTGCTGGGTAAGGGTGAATAGGAGTATAGCATAATTTCTGAGTGTGAGGAGCCTGTAGGAGGAACGGGGGAAATGGCATTTCAAAATTACTGTAGCATTTCAGAGACAATGAAGCTGATAGGTGCACCATTTTCAGGAGACAAAAGTAATCTGAAGGAATTTATTGATAATGTTGACGCCGCCTTTGAGTTGGTAGATCCAGTAAACCATTGGTTAGTGTTGAAGTTTATTAAGGCTAAGATTTCGGGAGAAGCGAGATCGAAGCTACTCGTGAGAGATTTAACCGGCACCTGGGGTCAAGTTAAAGCAATATTAGAAGAAAATTATGCAACCCGGAGGACGATAGATTTTTATGCGTGTAAAATGTTCAGTAGCAGGCAAGAAAAACACGAAAGAATTTCAAGTTGGGGTGTCAACAGTAGACCAGATGCAAAGTGAATTGAGATTAGCTACCAGCAAGGTGTGAATTGGCAGGAGCCATTAGTCTGATCAACTATTTGGCGCGAGCTTGTTTCATCCAAGGACTGTCGAATGACAGAATTCAGACGATCGTTTGGAGCAGGGGTGAACAGCTTTTATTGTCTAGTGCAGTGGAATTAGCATTAGAAGAAGAGAGTATATTGTTGTCCGCCAGAGAAAGAGGCCTAGGAGCTTATAGGTCGGAGAATGAAC